GAAACTTGGCCGAGCCCCGGGTCCGGTGACGCGATAGTGCCGGGAGGGCGGCGGGCGCAGCGAAACGGGGAGCCCGCGGGGCCCTGGGCGACGGTGGCGGGCGGCTGTCGGTCGGAAGGCCTGCCCCTCGCTGCGGCCGCAGGGGCTGCCCGGGGTCCGAGATCAGAAACGTCACCGCTGACACTGGGAGGTGGCCGCGGGGGTCTGCCCCTGTGCGGGACCTTGTCCTGCCGAGACCCGCAGGAGGGCTCGCTCCAGGCGTGGGCGCCGCTCGGGAGGGGCCGGGAGCCCTGGAGGCGGGGCGCCCTCCCCGCCTGGAGCAGAGGCGGCCCCTGCCTCTGAGAGGCCTGGCCTTGGGCTCCAGCTGCGGCGGGCGGGGGCGGGTGGACATTGGAGAAGGTGCGGATCCGTTAGAAGTGGGTGACATCACGCTGCAAAGCCCTAAGTCGCTTCTTCGAAGCCTCGCACCGTCTCAGTTACCGCGGGTTCTGAATATTTGGCAGGACCTCGGGGCGCCTGTTGGGGCGTCAGTCCCTTCTAGTGAGAGAATGGACTTGGTTCAGGAGCCCGGAAGGCGGGCCGTGAGCCATGAAAGGTGTAAGCAAGTGTCATTCTTCTCTTGCAGCTGTTTGCAGACAAGGTTCCAAAGACGGCAGGTTAGTTCCTTTAACCTTTAGTAAAGGCGGCCCAGTGTTGATGGGTGTGTACGTGCATATATCCTGTTTCTTTATTTTTAACAGAAAACTTCCGTGCTCTGACCACCGGGGAGAAGGGATTTGGTTATAAAGGTTCCTGCTTTCACAGAATTATTCCGGGATTTATGTGCCAGGTATGAAATTGATGGATTTTGATTTGGGTGGTTAGCTTTGGGATTGAGCCAGTACCGTTCAGAATGCGTAAACATGAGTTGTTTCTTTTTGGTTTCACGGAAACCTGGTCAGTTTAAACTTAAGTTTTGAACTTTGAACCTTGCCACTTGGCACGTCTTCTGATTATGTTGCAAAAGTGAGAGATTTCTCTTTCTCTCATTTCTAGGGTGGTGACTTCACACGCCACAATGGCACAGGCGGCAAGTCCATCTATGGGGAGAAATTTGAGGATGAGAACTTTGTCCTGAAACATACAGGTCCTGGCATCTTGTCCATGGCAAATGCCGGACCGAACACAAACGGGTCCCAGTTTTTCATCTGCACGGCCAAGACTGAGTGGTAAGGACAGCACCCAGCAGGGCAACCAAGGAACACTAACCACTGGGCTTCAGGCGTTCCCTGCTGCTTACATTTGGGTAGTAGGAGAACGTGCGTACCTACAAGTTGAGATTGTTGCTATAGGGAGCAAGATCCTGTGAACAGTGAACCAGGGCTCGGCTGCTGGATAGTTAACTTAAAAGTAGTATTTTTAGCGTGAACGGTTTGGGTGAGTGGCTTGTTTCAACTTATGAGCTAGGAGGTGTAACAGGTTGATGCCTGATCAGGGCACATTGCCGAGGTTGGAGGCTTGTTTCCCATTGGGGTTGGGCAGCCAATTGATGATTCTCTTTCATCTTTGATGTTTCCAACACTCTTCCTTCCACTCTGTAATCAACGAAAAACATGTTTTTTTTAAAGTAATATTTTTTAAAATATATTTTTATTTACTTCAGAGAGGAAGGGGTAGAGGTAAAAATATCAGTGATGAGAGATAATCATTGATCAGCTGCCTCCTGCACACCCCCTACTGGGGATTGAGCCTGCAACCCGGTCATGTGCCCTTCATTGGAATCGAACCTGGGAATCTGTAGTCCACAGGCTGATACTCTATCCACTGAGTCAAACCTGCTAGGCTAGAAGATTTTTTTGTTTTGTTTTTTTCAGAGAGAGACAGACATCAATGATGAAAATCATTGGTCAGCTGCCTCTTACACGCCCCACACTGGGTATTGCGCCCATAAATTGGGCATATAACTTGACCGGGAATTGAACCTGTCACCTGATTCATAGGTCAACCACTGAGCCACACCAGCCAGGCCTAGGCTAAAAGTATTTTTATCTAATTTGCATGTAACTTACTGTTTAGGGGTTCATTATAAACTTAAACTTTTCCAAGAGAGGGCGAAAGATATAAAAACATCAGTAAAGAGAATCGTTGATCAGCTGCCTATTGCACACCCCACACGGGATCAAGCCTGCAACCCAGCCACATCTCCTGACTAGGAATGGAACCTATGACCTTCTGGTTCATAGATTGACTCTCAACCATTGACCCATGCTTGCTGGGCTATTACAAACTTTTTAGCCTCAGTTGGAGAATCTTAAGCCACTTTTTTGAGTCAATCTGGTGTTTCCAGTATCTATAAAGCCTTTGATACGCTTCCCTTCTGGTGTGCTGTTGGGTGCATTATTAGTTTGTGGGGCTCTTTTCTCATCTTAAATCAACAATGCGGGCTGCTTGTTCTCTCTGGTTACTGGTGGTGGTGTTTGTTCTATTTCTTCCAGGTTGGATGGCAAGCATGTGGTCTTTGGCCAGGTGAAGGAAGGCATGGATATTGTGACAGCCATGGAGCGCTATGGGTCCAGGAATGGCAAGACCAGCAAGAAGATCACCATTGCTGACTGTGGGCAACTCTAATAAATTTGACTTGTGTTTTATCTTAACCACCAGACCATTCCTTCTGTAGCTCAGGAGAGCACCCCTTCATCCTGATTTGCTTGGAATGTTCCATAATCTTTGTGCTCTTGCCAGTTTATTGGGTTCCATAATTTCCCTCCCCTTTCCCGGTCTAGCTGGATTACAGAGTTAAGTTTATGATTATGAAATAAAAACTGAACAGTTGTCTGTCCTTGTTTGGGTTAGGGTTTCATTTTAAGCAGTAACATTACCTAAGGCAACTTTGCTGTTTAATTTCGCAGAGTAGTTTTTTGCTTCCCTAACATTGGGATGAGCAAAAGGTAAAATGAAGCCAAATGTAAAGGTTCAGTATCAGGAACCCTGTGCATGGGCAGAAGCCTGCCCAGGACGATCGCAGTGGGGGTGCAAGCCAGGAACGCAAACACAACCTGCAGCACTGCCCCACCTGGCCGGCTCCTGTTGGGGACTTGGTTGTCCCAACAATCACTTGTGTCCTGATGCTACTGAGGTGACCATGTGATGCACTTGCCTCCTTGAGTGGGTTTGTCGTCTACATGTCCTCATGGTCTCTGACCAAACACTAGTGTCTGGATGATGATGTTCCATGGTGGCTGTGGACTTCATCAGTTCAATTACTCTTAATAGACTGTTCCTGGGTGTGACCACACACCAAGTCATTAGTCCTCTAACAAGTATACACCAAACTTGGATACCAGTGTACCAGGCTGGGTGTTGGAAAAAGGATAGGCGCCTACGGAGAACAGGAGGTGAAGGGCGGGCCAGGTGGCTAGTTACAATGGTTTTGTTTCAGGTGGCACTGGCATGTGGAGGGAGGTGAACTAGTCGGCAATACCCAAGTTGGTTTAAGAATTAACCAGGTGGAGAGAAGGTACCAGCAGGGCTTGCGTATTCAGAGCCCTGTCTCCAGTTCCCTGTCGATGGGTTGGGGTTAGAGGGGATAGCTGGGCTCGGGCACCACAAGAAGTTCCAGAGCTGAGTGGTGGTTTGCCTATTTAATGCATTTTTATTGACTTCAGAGAGGAAGGGAGAGAATCATTGATGTGCTGCCTCCTGCATGCCCCTCACTGGGGATTGAGCCCGCAACCTGGGCATGTTTATAGGTTGATGCTCAACCACGGAGCTACCAGCTTGGGGAACTTTTTTTTCTTTTTTCCAGGACCCAGTTCACATTCTAGACGGGCTCTTCCACAAAATACCAACTGGTGCGCATGGGCCACGGAGCTTCAGTTGCACTGTACGCGCCCACATGTATTTTCTGGAAGAGCCACGCTCAAGGAGCCGAAGAGCCACATGTAGCTCAGGAGCCGCGGTTTGCTGACTACGGCCTAGGGTTTTTAGTGAATCGTAGTGCCCGGCCCAGAGAAGGCCCACAAATACTGAACTGTGTGCAACTTGAATGTAGGCCATGTTTTTGATTTTCCTTTTCTTTTGTATATGTTTTTATCGATTTCAGAGAGGAAGGGCGAGGGAGAGAAACATGAATGATGAGAGGATCACTGATTGGCTGCCTCCTACACCCCCTACTGGGGATCAAGCCCACAGCCTGAGCATGTGATCTTGACTGGAATTGAACATGGGACCTGCAGGCTGATGCTCTACTGAGCAAACCAGCTAGGGCAAACATAGACCCATGTTTTTTTTGTTCCAGAATTCAGAGCTTAAAAACTTGTGACTCAGACATGCAGAAGCATATTGTATGGGTATCTACTGCTGCATTTCAAATTATCCCAAAACTTAATGACCAAACAACGCCCCCCTCAGTTTTGGTGGGTGAGGAATCAAGTACGGCCTGGGTCCTTCTGGAGTCGCTGTTGCCCAGGTCCAAGGTCATCTCCGCTCCATGGGGGAGGATCTGCTTTGTAGCCTCACAGGGTTGTTACCCTGCTGGGTTGTCCTCTGTCTCAAGGCCTCACCAACCAGATGAAAGTCACTGTCTTGCCTGACTGGTTTGACTCAGTGGATAGAGCATCGGCTTGCGGACTGAAGGGTCCCAGGTTCGATTCCGGTCAAGGGCATGTACCTGGGTTGCGGGCACATCCCCGGTGGTGCGTGTGCAGGAGGCAGCTGATCGATGTTTCTAACTCTATCTCTCTCCGTCTCTCTCCCTTCCTCTCTGTAAAAAATAAATAAAATATATTAAAAAAAAAAAAAAAGTCACTGTCTTACAACCTGTCACAGAAATGACTTCCCATCTGCCCTGGCCATGCAGGTCAGTTGGTTAAGAGCATCATCCCCATACACTGAGGGTGCGGATTCACTCTCTGGTCAGGGCACAAGAACCAACCAATGAGTGCAGGTGTTCTGCTCTAAAATCAAAAATTAAAAAATACGATCCTGGGAACACTATATGCAGTCAAATTACCAAAAGGAAGTAGATGTTTGAAGCAGTTCTTTAGAAAACTAGTAAAAGAACCCTATTCTCTGTTGATTATTGCCTTTTTATCTCTACTTTGGCTTCCAAAAGCGATTAAAGTTCAGCAAACAGCCCTGACTGGTTTGGCTCCGTGGTGAGAGACTCAGCCGTGCACTGAGGGTTCAATTCCCAGTCAAGGGCACTTACCTGGGCTGCAGGTTTGATCCTAGCCTCAGTCAGGGCACCTGTGGGAGGCAACCAATTGATGTGTCTCTCACAGTGATGTTTTTCTCTTTCCCCACTTCCCACCCTCCCTTCCACTCTAAAAATCAATGGACAAAATACCCTTAGGTGAAGTTTAACAACAAAAGGTTCACACAGCGGTAACTGGATCCTCTCAGCATAGAAACTTTTCAAACTATGTGCGGAGAAGGTCCAATCGGAATGTGAACTTTCTTCTCGTAAGTCCAAGAAAAGAAGGCATGACAGGGTATCATCCATGGGTGACTCCCAGCAGGGTCCTGGATCTGGGCGGGCAGTAAAGATCAATGGTGAGAGAAGAGCTGACAAGAGAACTTGAAAAAAAAAATGAGCCCTACCCAGTTTGGCTCAGTGGATAGAGCGTCGGCCTGCGGACTGAAGGGTCCCGGGTTCGATTCCGGCCAAGGGCATGTGCCTTGGTTGCGCGCACATCCCCAGTGCGGGGTGTGCAGGAGGCAGCTGATCGATGTTTCTCTCTCATGGATGTTTCTAACTCTCTATCCCTCTTCCTCTCTGTAAAAAATCAATAAAACATGTTTAAAAAAAGAAAAAGAACTTGACAATCAATAGGGCAGGCTGGCAGCACCCAACTGACCATCAGTCAGTCTTCATGTTACAAGAGGAGGGAGGAGTTAGGTGCTCCCCGATGGGATCCAACAGGAAGCACACATTTCACTTATGAAATTAGTTTTGTGAAAAAGCACAATTCGCCCTGGCCAGGTGGCTCAATTGCTAGGAGCATAGTAACGAACAACAAAAGGTTTGGGTTTGATTCCCTAGTCACGTCACATACCTAGATTGTGGGTTTGATTCCTGCTCAGGGCTCATATTGGAGGCAACTGATTTAATGTCTCTCACTCACATAGATGTTTCTCTCTCTCTCCCTTCTCCCCCGCTGCTTCCTCTCTCTCTTTAAAATCAATGAAAACATATCCTCAGGTGAGAATTTTTTAAAAAGCAAAATGCAACAAGAACCCCTCTAGAGCTGTTTATAAGAAATATAGGGCCCTGGGAGAACCAAGATGGCGGCATAGGTTAACGCCGGAGTTTGCTGCCTTGAACAACCACTTCAAAAGTGAAACTAAAAGACGGAACGGACTGCACCCAGACCCACAGAAACGCTGGCTGAGTGGAAGTCCTACAACTAGGAGGAAAGAGTAACGCATACGGACACTCAGAGGAGGCGCAGTGCTGAAGTCAAATTCTGAGGTGCGGAGTGCGCGGAGCGGGCTGGCGGTGGAGGGCGCGGTGGTTGTTTTCAATCGGGAGGGAGTCGCAGACTCTGAGCTCCAGATCCGGGCGAGTCTTTAGGGGCACAGACTCAAACGGGAGAAGAGGGACTGTCTGGCCTCGGTCAGAGCGAGTGCAGCTTTCTCTCCGAGGTTTGCAGCGGTTGCTGGGACTCAGAGAGCAGAGCCCCCGGGACAGGACTGAGAGAGGCCATAACTGCTCTCTCTCTCCGGCCCACCCTGTTGATCCTGTGCGACCCCCCCCGCCCAAGCCCAGCACAGAGGCTTTTGCCCGATAGCCTCAGGCAAAGGCGAGATTAGCAACGCCCTAGAGGACAGTAGTTCTCTCACTGCAGACACAGCTGATTCTCACAGCCACTTGGCCTGGAGGTCAAATCCCCCCTGGTATCAGCTACAACAATCAAAGCTTAACTAAAAGACTGCGCACAAAGACCACTAGGGGGTGCATCAAGAAAGCATAACAAAATGCGGAGACAAAGAAACAGGACAAAATTGTCAATGGAAGATATAGAGTTCAGAACCACACTTTTAAGGTCTCTCAAGAAGTGTCTAGAAGCCACCGATAAAGCTATTGAGATCCTCGAGAAATCTAATGAGACCCTCGATGCTATGATGGGAAACCAACTAGAAATTAAGCATTCACTGACTGAAATAAAGAATATTATACAGACTACCGACAGCAGACCAGAGGAGCGCAAGAATCAAGTCAATGATATGAAATCCGAGGAAGCAAAAAACACCCAACCGGAGGGGCGGAATGAAAAAAGAATCCAAAAATGCGAGGATAGTGTAAGGAGCCTCTGGGACAGCATCAAGCGTACCAACATCAGAATTATAGGGGTGCCAGAAGATGAGAGAGAGCATGAAATTGAAAACCTATTTGAAGAAATAATGACAGAAAACTTCCCCCACCTGGTGAAAGAAATGGACTTACAGGTCCAAGAAGCGCGGAGAACCCCAAACAAAAGGAATCCAAAGAGGACCACACCAAGACACATCATAATTAAAATGCCAAGAGCAAAAGACAAAGAGAGAATCTTAAAAGCAGCAAGAGAAAGAAACTCAGTTACCTACAAGGGAATACCCATACGACTGTCAGCTGATTTCTCAACAGAAACTTTGCAGGCCAGAAGGGAATGGC